TCAAAGATGTGTACAAAATTTCAATAACCAGAAAGGGGCTATTTTTTGAGTTCAAACAAGAGTTCAATACATTCAACATACGCAAGTTTTATTGCATCACTTGGATTAATTAAGCATAGTAAACCTTTTACTGACGGTGAAGTTTTAAAGAAATTTTTCTTGACTGTTCTGAAAAGTTGTTTTCTGATTTTCAAAACCAAAAAGAAATCTTGAGTAAAATAAAAGAAATGCCTTTATCTGCTCGAACCGTACAACGCCGTGTTACTGATATGTCAAAGGATATTACTAATCAGCTACAAAATGATTTATTGATGAGCGAAGTTGTTAGTTTGTCTGTGGATGAAAGTACTGACATAAATAACGTTGCAAGGCTTGCAGTAGTTGCATTGATGAGCGAAGTTGTTAGTTTGTCTGTGGATGAAAGTACTGACATAAATAACGTTGCAAGGCTTGCGGTAGTTGCTCGTTATGGAGCTATTAATTCTCCAGTTATTCATGAAGAACTGTGTGTACTGTCACCAAAGTTAGGTACTACGAACGGTATTGACATTTTGAAGAAAGTTCAAGAATTCATTAAATTCGAAAATGGAAATGTTTTTGATTTGAAGAAAAAATGATTTTCTGTCACAACTGATGGGGCTCCAGCAATGTTAGGAAAACATGTTGGCTTTGTAAACCTATTGCAGAAGGAACTTGGAAGGCCACTACTTTCATTACACTGTATAATTCATGAAGAAAATGTATGTACAAAAGCCTCCTCGAAACAGTTAAATGAAGTGATGAGCGTAGTGATTAAAATTACTAACACAATTATAGCTCGTTCTGCCTTGAATCACAGAAAATTTAAGACATTTTTAGAACAAATTGAATGTGAATATAGTGATTTATTAATGCATACTGAAGTTCGCTGGTTAAGCAGAGGAAAGGTTCTAAATCGATTTGTGGCATGCATTAATGCAATTGAAATATTCATGAGTGAAATCGGTGAAAGTTTCCCTCAGCTCAAAGATAAAAATTGGCTTCTTAAATTAAAATTCTTAACAGATATTACTAATCATTTCAATAATTTGAATTTGCGCTTACAGAGCAAGGAACAGACAATTCTCAAACTTTATGAAGCATGGAAAAGTTTTTGTTGTAAGCTAGTTCTATTCCAGGGTGACATAATGAAACAAACATTTAAATATTTTCCTTCAGTAAAAACTCATGAAGAAATTACAAATGCAGAAGTAGATATGCTTAAAACTTACATTGATGCCATTCAAATCGAATTTGAAACAAGATTTCAGAATTTTAAAGCCCATGGTCCTATGTTCAGTTTTATAATAAAGCCTGATGGAATGGAGGAAAATGTGTTGGACCTGCAATATTTCAATTTCCTTGAAATTGAAAATCTAGATATGGAGTTAATTGACTTCAAAAATTCAACAATATGGACAGACAAATTCAAGGCCTTAAGAAGACAACTTCATGTTGGGCATCACTTCCCTCCAAGTTTTCTTCGATAAAGAAAGTTGGTTTCGCTTTATTATCAGCTTTTGGGTCCAGCTACTCATGTGAACAAGTATTTTCCCAAATGACATTCATTCTCAGTTCATCGCGTAACAGGTTAACTAACGAAAATTCATGTGTTCTTTTAAAAACGACAAATTATCGCCCAAATATCTCAAATCTTACAGGATAATGAAACAGCATCAAGGAAGTCATTAAAATGATTAAATAAGGTCCCATTTTATTTACATGTGTGTTTACTTTTTCTGTTAACATTTTATGATTTATTTCAAGTTGTAAATTTAGATTTGATGATAATAAATTTGTAATTCTCTATTTAAGGTATATTGGATTATCCCATCTGTATAATTTTTTTTATGTACTCTGAGATAATATGCAAGCTAAAATAGAAGTGATGTGACCAACCAGCAAAAATTTTTCTGAAAAAAATTGAAAAATGACTCACTTTTAAAAAAAGGTTGCCGACCACTGCTCTAACCGAACAGTGAGATTTACCGTCACCTCAATATAACGCTCTCATGGCTGAAAGGGCGAGAATGTTCGGTGATGGGATTCGAACCCGCAGATTGCAAATAGAACGCCCTGACCACCAGGCCATGCCAATAGTGTCGCAGGTAACCAATTTTATTCGCCCTTGAGTATTTTGATAACCCGGATTTGAAACTAGGCAGAACAATCGGTGCTTCTTTTTCAACATCCAGTTGTCTCGATGGTGACATTCTACCAAATAAATCGGTTGCTAAGGCGATAAAAGTTTACCAAGAGTGCCTATTTAAAATATTAGCAATTCTGTAGTAATATAAAAAGGTGTATGTATATGTATATATGTTGAAATTATGCTAAATAAGGTATATTCGTGACTTTAAAAACCTTTAATTTATTAATTTTACACGCTTGTGAAATTTTTAGTTAAGGGGGGAGTAATGTTTTGGCCTACCATATTACCATGAAACTGGGCTGTTTCTTCTGTGCTCACTACGAGTATCGAAACCGGGTTTTTAGCGTTATAAACCTTCAGATTTACCGCTGAGCCACTAGAGGGCGTTACTTATGAGAAACGAAATTTGAAGATATATTTCGTACAAAATAGTTGAAAAAACTGGCACACCAATGTTAAGTAAAGATAATGATTTTTCAATATAAATCACACATGCACGTGCAGATGAGAATATAATACCGCACATTGTACTGTTCTTACTGTTAGGCCTAACGAAAAACACGAGTTACATCGTCATCAGGCCTCTAAAAACTGCCGTTTGGATTTTTTAGAATAGTGGTCTTCGTAAAAGTGTTAAAAGGCGTTCATATAAATTAAAAGAATAGGGAGCCCCTTTTGACAGCCTTCTTTTCCCTCCCTCCCCCACAGTATGAGATAGATAATTTCACGAGTCGTAAGCAAAAACCTATTAGAAAACAGAATGACTGTACCTAAAATATGAAATTTTATGACCAAACAAAAAATAAACTAATTGAATTATTCTTCATATATAAACTAATGTGGTTAATGAAATAAACCGATGTCCCTGAATGTAAATTTTATGCAAATTTAATTCAAAATTTTTCCTTTGCGATTTGTTTTACGAAATAAATATTTGATTTGGAATTTTGTGTATATTCTTGTTAGTTATTAAATGAGTTTATTGATTCGTAGGAAAAGGGTTGAGACAAAGTTTGATTACTAGTAGGAGAATAGTTAAAGTATTTCACAGCCTATTAATGGGAATAATGGCGCCGTTTTTCATGGATTTGCATATTGGACCAGTCCGTGGACCACTCTTTGAAAACCACTAACTTAGAGGAAAAAGAATATCATTAGACGATAAAAAAGGAGAAAGAAGAAGCACCTTTTAACCCCTTTACAAACTGTTCGAGATTAACCTATGTTACCCATTGTTCGCCACCAGTTAGGAGGAAAGAAACATTATATAATACACTAGAACAAACCAATCATAAGTGGTATATATCAGCTAAGATCATAACAAAATACACTAGCCCTAAGATAATAAGTGGTATATACCAGCTAAGGATCATAACAAAATACACTAGACCTAAGATAATAAGTGGTATATACCAGCTAAGGATCATAACAAAATACACTAGACCTAAATATATACCACTAATGATGATTTTAGGTCTAGTGTATTTTGTTATGATCCTTAGCTGGATAAGTGGTATATACCAGCTAAGGATCATAACAAAATACACTAGACCTAAAATATATACCACTAATGATCAGCTAAGGATCATAACAAAATACACTAGACCTAAAATCATAAGTGGTATATACCAGCTAAGGATCATAACAAAATACACTAGCCCTAAAGGTTTTGTCATCATCAGATATCGCCTTGTCGAAACGTTGTACATTTGCTGTTATGCTAAACTTGTATTAAAGTTTTTCTTCATTACCCATTCAAGCCGTCTCCAACCATTATTAGTCTCAAAGTGGGTTCCTCGTAATCGAATCACATGATTATGTTATAAACATTATATATTTTCACTGCTATATGCTAATACTTGAGCGAGACAGTTATTTTGCTGATTGTTTTTATATATGTTTTAACATAATCATACAAAAGTTCTTGACAAAACATTTGATCTTCACAAATTATTTTAGTAGATTTGGTAAGAACTATTAAAGTTCATCTTTTATATAAGACCACAGAACACCGATTTGTAACAAATATTTGATGACCTTTGTATAAATTCTAAGTGAAGTGAAAGGTTACTCTAACATTGTTTCAATATCTATGTGAGGAAAATATCAGTTTGGAAATGTAAAATATTCGATAAACTAGTTTTTTCTAAACCTACAAAACAAAACCTACATGATAAATCTAATGAAATAATATGCAAAGATACGTACAAATAGTTAGTGAAATAACAGATGCACCAGATAGTTTTGATTTACTTTCATAGGATGTGGTTACCAGGATTAGAAATGTACTAAATGTATGTGTTTCTTAGAATTTGCCAAAGTCAAACACTTTTCCCAAATAACATAATGTAGTGGCAGGCTATAAATGAGGGGTTCAAAAGATCATTGTTCAAAATTCCAGTATGACGTGGATAGTCAATTTGGTTATGGATTTCTAAACGAAGAAATGTTCTATGATCATATTAGATCAAATCATTTTGGGGGATTTCCCCTCATGGTGACTTATTCTATTTGACTAATCACATGCCAGAATACTTGGATATACCACAGATATTATTACATTGGCCTGTTGGTATACTGACAAATTGGCATCATGTTTTTCAAATAAGGATTCGTTGAGACGATGGGAAAGTGAGGGATATTTATCTGAAGAGAATGACTTTGTTTAAACAATTGAAATTTAAAGGTCCTTTTCAGGACCATCACATCCTGAGGATAAGAAAGTTATGCTTGCACATAATGAAAAGGTTTCTCACTTCTGATATTTACAATGAACATCAGTATAAGTCTTTTGTCTGATCCTTCTTGTGCATTATCCGTAGATAATTATCTATAAGTCTGGACAGTTGATGTAAGATCATGATCTCTTATCTAATACTTAAAGTTTTGTTAATAAAAGTTTCAGTATGTGTGACAACAGTCTTATTTAGAGTTTGTGGTTTTACTTACAAACATTGATGATAACATATATCTATATGCAGACTTATATTAGATGGTTAAACAAGAAATTTGAATAATTAGTTCATGAAGTCTAATTGAGTAGAAAGTATACAATAATTATACACTATCTGAAATGTACATGTTGTACACGTTCCATCAAATCATGAGAAATAGAATATCATGAAACAACCAATACACTATGTTTACTATGAGTTAGACTAAATATCAAAGTTGAAGTGTACACACTGTTTGAGATTGCTTCTATTGTTTATGTTCAAGATTAATTTGTTTTTCTACTTCAAACATTTATTGCTGTTAACAAAGTATTTGTTTGTTTTGTTTTGAATTTCGTGCAAAGCTACCTGAGAGCTATGTGTGCTAGCCATCCCTAATTTAGCAGTGATAAACTAGAAGGAAGGCAGCTAGTCAACACCACCCACTGCCATTTCTTTTACCAACGAATAGTGGGATTGACTTTAATATTATAATGCTCCCACGGTTGAAAACGCGTGCATGTTCTGTGACAGGGACTCGAATCCGCGGACCTCCGCTTGCGAGTGGAGCGCCATCACCACCAGGCCTTGCTAGGCCTACTAAAAAGGAAAGTATAGTGTGGTATTTTAACTTCACGCTCTTATCGTGGGGAATAGGAAAAGGGAGAATTGTTTTCTCAGACTTCTCTTGTTTTAAATATAGATATATGATATTGATTAAGAAAAACAAGTATTGTTATGGTGTGAAGGCCTTTTTTAAGCTCGCAAAGCATGATTATAATTAATTATACTTGTCATAGGACATTAATATTAAGCCTATGATATTTCAAACACTAACACTACACTCTTTTCTAGTCCCTCAGGGATTTTCAAGAATTAGAAAAGTGTACAATAACGGTATTTCTACCATAATGTGTTCGCCACATCCATTGTCGACGACGCGTTTTGCTTAATCCAGAGCTCATCAAGCCAACTGGAAAACAACAAATATAGATCATACCATAACCGTTGTTGTTGTAACAAATGGCTTATATAAGTAGCGTTCTGATCATTACTGTGTTTGTTGTACTCCATTGGGACTGTGCGATCGAATAACGTGTATTTTTTATGCACATAACGATATGATTTTTGTGCAGAATGATTCCAATTACAGATATATCGATTTCATAACAGATGTTCCTTTTATACGAACTAAGCTTGTTGTAGAGCAAAGCCACATTGAAGCGAGCCTCCTATTTTAGCGTGGTACGTTTGTAAGCTTACCGCTGCCTCACTGGGAAACCTTTGAAGAAAGAAAAATAAATGTACAACACTCATCTTAAGTTTTATGGAAGGTTAGCATCTGATCCGATATCACAGCTGCTATGTCTACAAAACTCAGAACGAGTTCAAACTGTTTGTTTGG